GTTATGTTACACAACCGATGGATTAACCTGGTTGCAGAAGTTTGGATGTAATATTCAACAACTTTTTTTTTTCTGTGTATGGTTAAGAGAGTGTAAGCGGTAGCGGGCCTAAGAACAGAAGGAGAATAAACGTTTCGTATATTGTTAAGATCAAGTGTAAATTATTCAAACAATTACTCACCTGGAAGTACCCTGAGGATTCCACAAGTGGCGACCGTGGATGTGGATTTGTTAATTGGAACATCGTTACGTCGAGTAAACAAGGTCGTTGAATCGAAAAGACACTTGGTGAGACAGCGAGACTGAGTACCCCAAGCACTCATTGAGACTACAATGGAAAAATGGGATCTTCCTGCATTCAGGTTCAAACTGATCCCACCAAACGAGATCAGAGATGAGTGCTGTGTGATGCCTTACAAAAGGCAGTTTGAATACTTAGCTCGGGCCAAGGGCGTAACGAATAAAACTCGCCTGAAGCATATTTTTCTTGCACGGGCAGGCCCGTATGTTCAAGATGTATTCAACAGCATCCCTGGAGTAGATGTTGAGGAAAGGATTGGAGTTGACCCATTCAAGGTAGCAATAGGCAAACTGGAAGAGTAGTTTGCGCCGAAACAGCATGAAGCCTACCAAAGATTCGTGTTCTGGTCATTGACGCCGAAGGACAAAGAAGAACCATTGGATAAGTTTCTTTTACGTGCAATGGAGTATGCTGGTAAATGCAATTTTGGAAATACCAAGCAGGAGGCACAAGAGATCGGGGTGATTGACAAAATTATCCAACATGCCCCACCGGATTTGAGAGAAAAACTGCTTCAGAAGGACAAGCTTGTGTTAGACGAGGTTTTTAAAATGGTGAATTCTCATGGAACCATCAAGTACCAGGCAAATCAGATGGCAGGCAGCAGTGTATCACAAGCACAACCCACGTTGAACACGGTGAACAAAATCACAAACCTTCCTTCTGGTAGAGGGAAGGATTACGAATGCTCGAGATGCGGTCGAAGAGGCCATAGCAAAACGGCTCGTTCATGTCCATCCAGATCAAAGGTCTGCGATAACTGTGGAAAAATCGGCCACTTTGCGAAATGCTGTCACACACCTCGTGCTGCTCCAAAACGAGAGAACCGCGACGGAACGGACTCGAGACGCAAACGTGTGAAGTATCATCACCAGGTTCGAGCAATAAAAAATTCGGAGGATGAAGGTCAATTCTACAGCTTTATCTTCGCTGTCGGTAATGGGGACGAGTTCCTATGGGTTAAGATCGGAGGAGTGCTTATCCAGATGCTATTCGATTCAGGGTGCCAGAAAAATATTATAGATGACACTACTTGGGACAAAATGCGAATTCAGGAAGCAGAAGTTCAAAACTTGTTATCATATTCCGACCAAACTTTCAGAGGATGGAGAAAGGCACATTAGTACGGTAACAACATTCTACGTTATCAAAGGCGGGTCGCAGGCACTCTTGGGTAGTAGTACGGCCAAAGAACTGCGCGTACTTGTTCTGGGACTCCCAAGCACCAATTCCCCAGACGTCTTTCGCGTACGCTCTGAGCTAAAGTATCCGTTCCCGAAAATAAAAGGAATCAAGCTAAACATTCCTATCGACGAAACTATTGCACGTTCAATCCTAATGAATGTGTAGTAGTTGACAAGAAGGGCTCTCGTGTAACGATCAAAAGCAAGGAATCCGACAAGGTTTACCGCCGGAATGTAGCACATTTGAAGCGAATTACCGATCGTCACGAGGTTGCAGATAGCTGTGAGGATACTGCAACATCGTCTGAACGCCAGGAGCAGGATGACCCGGAACCGTCCCCATCGACGCTGCATACCGATAAGAGTATGCTGACTAACTTTGAACTTTCTAATGCTCGACGTCCAGTGAAGTTTCTTTCGAAATTTAAGGACTATGATTGCTAAATGGGATTTTGGGTTTTAGAGAAAAAACGAGATGTGGTTCCCTCTACTCTGGGCAACAAGCATACTACACAGCAAAAAAAATGTAATATCGATCAATGTAATTCAAGCTGATGTATGAAATAATGATGTAAGAGCAAGACAGACGGAGCGCGGCTCGAAAACGTTGGCGACGAACCTGCTATTGTAATTTTTCAGAGTATCACATGGCAACACTACTACTGGATTGTACTAGCATTTTCACCAAATGTGATAGAATGTTTTGATTCTATCAGGTTCTATCTCTTTCAATCTACTCAAACTGAAATGCATAAACAAAATGAAACACTCTTTGCACACTGTCAAAGATCATTGCACACAAAATCAACTTTGTTCAAATCAAAACAGAAATACTAGCCCATCTGGTGGCTGATGGCACAAGCTTCTAAGCAAATTCTATTACAGCGAACCATATTATTTTAATTGATTTCTTCGCCAGTTAGTCGTCTGTCACTTCGTTTGTATCTGAACTGATTTGTACCTCAACACCTCAACTATTCACACACAAGAAATCCGCAAGATCATAACCACTAAGGCACTATTATAAAGATTAATTTTTCTCAACAAAAATATAAAATAAATTATCAGGAAAAGGGAAAACGTGTTCCGCTTCCTATGTCTCACGGCAAAAATGTCTGCTCACAGCACTCTTTTTGACGTTCTCCTATTCACCACCAGAGGTTGAATGGATCGCTTAGTTTTTATTAAAAAGGCGTATTGTGGCGACCATATAATCGTTTGACCAATATAATAAATTTATAATAGGGTTAATTGACATCAACAGAATGTATTGTATTTTATTGTTATTGTATTGTAATTTTATGGTTATGCTCTTCCAGCAAAGTAAGAGTTCTACCCGAGGGGGGCGACACATCTAAATCTAAATTTTAGATGCTCAAAAAATCTCAGACTAGCGAATCAATCTTCAAAAAATCTTCGTGTATTTCTCGCATCTACTTGCATCGCGCATCATCTTTTTGCAGGAAATCTTCAGAATCGTCATAAATCTTCTTTCTATCTACTCAGCGTGCGAGTAGCTAGCCACAGCATAACACAATCTTTCCTGCAGCGTAGATAGAGTCGTCCCCCTCGAATCTACCGAAAAAATTTGAAAAAAAAAAACTATAAGGGACAGCCCTATGGGGTTGTACGCAATGATGACGTAGGACTACGTGGTCTTATATAATAAATGTTTTTTGTTAACTGCAGCAGGAGCTTGCGTTCTGTGTAGGAATAGGAATTTGAGCGGGGTTCTCTCTGTTTATACTCTTTAGTATGACGCGCTTAGCATAGATGGCCCACAGCGACTCACGAAGAGCTACTGATTCCGATCAATAGCTGTGTGGCTTCTCCCTCCTTCTATGGATGCTCATGTGGACTGCAGCTCACTGCTTGCAGGCAGCCTCTTGTTGTTTACTGGAGAACACCACCACTCACCACGCGGTGATCAAATAAACACCGGTTGGAATTCAACTTTGAAATCTGTGTTAGGGAAATCGCTTTTCGCAGGCAATCGGTGATAATTTTAATTATAATTATCATATTCGTGCAATTTTCAATAGTGACATTTTGAGCAATGATAAAGTCTTATTTTAACAGATTCAAATAATTTCTATCGATTGGCGTAGCAAAAATTAAAATCCATAATCTCTGGATCAAAATCAGATCACTTTCATGCCGCGACCGACTTTGGTTTTTGAAATCACACTTACAATGTTGCATTAAAGTACATGGTATGTTAGATTTAAACATATCTATATAGAGCTGGAATTAGGCGTAACAGCTTTTGTAAACAATGACTTCTCTCGATGATTTTTAGGAATAAACGGCACGCCCACGCAAACCAACATTACCGTTGGGTAGGGGAAGTCTTGCCCTACTTGATGGTGATGTTGCTTTGCGTGGGCGAGCCTTGACTTTCAAGACATCATCGAAAGAAGTCATTGTTTACAAAAGCTGTAACGCCCTAATTTTTTGACAAATGTCCAAAAAATACTCTTTTACAAATTTATGGTGGTCCTGAAAAGAACCGTTTTGTCGTGATGGTTGAGTAATGCTGAGCTATTAGGGTGCTAAAAACAGATGAGGCTGGTGCGCTATATGTTGTTTGGAATGAGGGTGACGCGCTTGGCATAGATGGCCCACAGCGACCCATGAAGAGCTACTGATTCCAATCAATAGCGGTGCGGCTTCTTCCTCCTTCAATGGATGCTCATGTGGACTGCAGCTCACTGCTTGCAGGCAGCCTTTCGTTGTGTACTGAAGAACACCACCCCACTCACCACGCGGTGATTGAATAAACACCGTTTGGTGAGACTGGATGGAACTCAACTTTGAAATCTGTGTTAGGGAAATCGCTTTTCGCAGGCAATCGGTGATAATTTTTACTATCAAAGCAACAGTTGCACATTCGTGAGAGCAACAATAGAGACATTTTGAAAAATCATAAAGTCTTAATTTCAACAGATGCGTAGAAATATTTCTGATCGATTGGTGATAACATTATTGAAATTGATCCAGGGGCAGCTGAGTTATTAACGTTCATAATCTTTCATAATTTTGTTACATGTTCCATTTTCGGTTTTCACAAAGTGTACCCCCATATGTCTATAGTTTTCTATAGTCCTACGTCAAAATGAAATATCAAATCATACGCTACGTGAAGAAAATGCCATTTCAGTTCAATGCGCTCAACGTTCGATTGTTGAATTTGAGGTTGAAATAAAATCACTTGATGCTATTTGACTTGTAAGCTGAATTGATCAATTTAGATGATCAAGTTTTGAACCTACCACAGCATACTTTTGGCACTACTGTATATGGACGATCAAATGTAAAATACTGTGCATAGTTCTGTCAAAACCTCAGTATTTTCACTGATCCATTCGTGATGAAAATAGTTCAAAACTATCGCCTTTGTTTCAAATTGACCATAGCTTACACAACATTGAATAATACATAGTTTCTTTCATTAGAAATAATATACTTGTTAGATAAAAGAGGCCAATCTTGGCATAAGTTTAATCAAAAAATGCATACTAATCGGATAATGTTGGCTTCCTAAGGCAATAAATAACAACTAATTAATGAATTATCAGACCAATAGAAACAGGTATTTATCTCAGTCTATTCGAAAATGGTTCAAGGTTCCTACGAGCTTATCATAGTCTTGATGAAACGCTAGTCCTGGGCTCCGTCACATTTCGTTGGTAAATGTTGGGAATGAAGAACGAAAGCACACCGCATCCAATCAGAGAAATGCCTGATATCCAAAACGTAAGCTCACACTGTGTATCGAGCAGCAAGCCAACCATATTCGCGCCAACCACACTCCCAAGCCTTCCAAACATCAGAGAAATGCAAATAGCCATCGCCCTGCGAAATGGAACCACTTACTGTTCGAATTATAGTCCAGATCATAAAACACAATTACCTCAGGTTTGTTGGAAATAAATCCACCGTAACGGCATTAACCACGCTGATGCAGTACCCACATGTCAACAGAACGAGATACAGCCACATGGCGAGCAGAGGGATGTCGATAAAAATAATCAACACTCCAGATATACCACAACAAACAAAGACAAATACCAAGATGGGCAGTTTGCCGACTGCATTGATTATCAATCCAATAACAGCGAAACCCAACGCATACAATAGTTCAAGGATGAATGAGTGCTCATAGGCTATGATGTCAAGTTTTTGGTTACATTCAGGAATGATTTCCGTATCATTTTGACTCAACATTGAAATGTCGATTTGTGTTGCGTAGACTGCATGGCACAAAGTAGTGCGATTCACGCCTGATTCCTGCAATTCTGCTGCTCGATTCAGAATATCCGGGAAAAACATGTACATTCCATTGGATGACAAGTAGATTCCGAACTGCAAGACACAAACGATGGCTGTCTTATTCAGGTAAGGGCTCATGAATAAGGGAGCCGTTTGGTTCCAGATGAGCTTCATCAATGTCTTAAACCCATTGGTATTGTCAGCTTCACTGCATCGCCTTTTCTTTTGCTGACCTTCCGATTCGGCTAGAATCGAAGTGATCTGTAGCTTTGATTCCTTCCCCCTGGTGTTCAGCTTATGCATCCATTGAATCGTTTCGATCGCTTTCTCGGTGTTGCCTTGAACGAACGTGAATTTTGGGCTTTCTGGAATTTTGAGTAATGCAAAAGCACACACAAGACTCGGAAGTCCACAAACGGCCAAGAACAATCTCCACGGACGGTACACTATGTTCACAAATGGAATGTAAAACTCCCACTCTTGATTTATGACCAGAAAGGCAATCCCTGGAAGCAACAGGCAACCGATTCCGAACACGAAAGATGCTCCCATAATGGCGCGCGATCCGTCACGCTTATTGTGAAACTCACCCAAATAGGCGTAGATTGTGGCAGATGAACCGGAAATGCTGAAAATCAGTAGAATTTTGAAATAAGTGCATCATCCAACGGTATTCCGAAAACTAAAAACTCACAAAAACCCGGCAAGGAATCTAAATAGAGCGATTATCCAGAAGCTTGTGGTGAAGCTAGAAATAATCGTTGCAGCAAACGTTAGAAACAACGTTGGAACGATTACCTTCTTTCTCCCCCGAGTGTCTGCGAGAAATCCCCATAGATGAGAGCTTGTGATGATCCCTTCAAAGAAATTGCAAATGATAATAAATAACTGTGACACACAGTAACAACTGACTATGTTTGCTGACGGGAAGCGCTAAAGGGTAATCTTTTCAAAATAGAAGAATGGGATCAAGCGACGCTACCTGCAAATGAAACTGCACTGAGGACTCCTTTTTCTTTGGTTGTGAGCAGTAAGTCACATTCCGCCACTGGGATAACATAGCTTATTCCTAACGTTTCCAGCAAAACAGCCGCGAGAATGGTTCCAGATATGATGATCATAATGTAATTGAATTTTCCAAACTCTGGGAATCATAGATTATTAAGATGCACATATCGATCTAGAAAACCTAGTCAAAATCACTTACTTGCCATTGAGAGAGCATCGTCAAACGTTACACTACGCGGATAAGTAACGGGTTTTGGTTCTGCAGAATATAATAGATATATAAATCCAAAGGAAGGACAATTCTACATTCAATCTGATTAAAATTAATAACTTCCATGTCCTTCCCAACTTCATTTAATTGTACACTGGATAACCACCTACCATGTATGGTTTCAATGGAATTATCCATTCCTACGAATCAGGTCACAACGAACAACTTGTCAATTTATAAAACTTTTCTGGACACACCTTCTCGTCCACAAGATATTCTCTAATGATGTCCCAGCAGCCACTTGCAACCTTTATATTAAAGCGCGATCTTTTTGTACTCGGGATCACATCGTAAATTAATGGGTGGCGAGTACGCGGGTGAAATAAAAAAGACCGACGATATGCACTCGACTTATCAACAGCAGCTATATAGCTCCTTACCCGCGAAGAGAAATGTAGAGAGAGAGGAGGAACAACAGCATCCCCTTATCAACAATTCACTACTGGCTACTGGGAAGTGATGCAGCAAGACAATCTTACCACCCACTGATTGGATCTGCATGTATTTTCGTCGAATGGATCAGTTTATGGTACCCCACGCGATGAGAATCCCGCCGGTCCGAGGATGACACATGGCTGAGGTGCTGCTTGGCGCCAGTGAGACTTGTTTTGGCAAAAATTCTTTGTATCACTATAGTATACGATGCTCTTTAGCTGCTTAATTCCAGAGGAATTGGAAAAACACCATATTTTTTTTTTAATATTAACCTGGATACACGACAAGATAACCTTGTTTGTTGTGACGGGAAGCCTCTACAATTCTTCGTGCGAATCTACAAACATACAGTGAAATTTTAGTAACTAGAATCAAATAATCAATTGGATATTTTTTGGATTTTGATTTGCGGAATAATTGTACGTCAAATTGGTTCCAAAGCATTGAAGATGTGTTCTTGTTTGGACGAGGATCATCTGTTGTAGGAAACTTTCATGAAAATGGGAAACTCGGACAACCGATCAGCTCAGCTTCATTTTGGTCAGATCTCAACAAATTCAAATTCAAACAAATGAATTATTCATTAAATCATGGCATTTATTTCTGAACTGCAAAATTTAAAGCTGAGATTCTTGATGAATTACAGAAAAAAAATATATGGTATCCAGAAATCACAGATAAAAACTTGAACCCAAAGATCGTACCTATTTAAGCTCGAAAAATCTGCATTGCAAGAATAATAACAAACCATTCTGAGGTAAAGAGTAACCCATGATGCAAAGGGCAGAACACATATGCCATAACTGGGAATAATGCAATAGTAAATGAACAAGTAAAGATAAGCTGTTTGCATCTAGATAGGGCACAGCTGTCAAATGTTTTTTTTAACTGATTAGCTAGACACAGTCGTCCAGCGAAAGTCTACAACCTACAAGCTTTATCCAGAGTACCATCAGAAATAGTGCATCAAAGAAACTTTGCAAATGTCTTCCAGTGTAAACTCGAGTGTAAAGCCATTCTCATCCAAAGACTTCCTTCTAGATATCTTCAACTGCACAGTTTAAAATTATGGAAGAAAAAGCCATAATATAGTCCACCAGGTATGAGCAAAAGCAGAAATGGTACGTCTATTTCCTATGTGGTTGGGATGATTTCCAGAATATGTTGTTAGGCATTTCTTCTGAAGGCTTTTTTATTTGCGCATTGGAACACACTAATGGCGGTATGCCCCTACTGGGATTAATGTTCAATACTGGCTCTGATTGAAGGATCTGCCAAATGTTTGTTTAGGATCGTACAGATTTAACACCGACGTCGACATCGAAACACCCTGATATTCGTGATCGGAATTTAATCCGAGGATAATACCGGTTGCAGCTTACCACTTTTTTTGTGTTGGGTATATTCATCACTGCAACCATTACTTTGATCTATTGTGATATATTCCCCGTTTTTATATTGCTTTATCAGTATTTCTTATCACTATTTTGTAACGCGACCGACATAGACTGACCAAAAGCATTTTCCCAGCCATTTTCGAATGAAATGTACAACTTGACTGGGAGTTCCATTCCAAATATCAAAGGGTTCTGCCAGCCCCTTATCCAGAAAAAAAATAAGCCTTTTATTGAAGATTGCTGCACAAGAGCAGAGCAAGTGTTCAGAGTCCTTTTCTATGCCACAGAATCAAGTGATATTTAAATGGACAATGTCCTGTTATCAAACAAGTATAGACACTGAGATCTTTCTTTGATAATTCAATTTTGCTATTAATTGAAATGTTCGGAATTATGAACCGTTTCGATTTTCATTTTTTGACGTAAAATTGTGATAATGTTAAACGTCGTTAAACGTTAATAACTCAGCTGCCCCTGGACTAATTTCAATAATTTTATCACCAATCAATCAGATATACTTTTACGCATCTATTAAGACTTTATCAATTTTTTAAATGTCACTATTGAAAATTGCGCGAATGTGTAACTGTTGCTATGATAATTAAAATGATCACCGATTGTCTGCGAATAGTGATTTCCCTAACACAGATTTCAAAGTTGAATTCGATCCAGTCTCACCAAACGGTATTTATTCAATCACCGCTTGGTGAGTGGGGTGGTGTTCTCCAGTATACAACGAAAGGCTCCCCGCAAGCAGCTAGCTACCAAGGCTGGCCTTAATCGCTGATCGAATTCAGTTCCAATCGCCGTGTGTGGTGGTATCCGGCGTCGGTATCAGCTGCAGCAGCAGTGCTTTTGGCGCGTGGCGTTGAACATTGTTCTCCAGTAAACAACGAAAGGCTGCGTGCAAGCAGTGAGCTGCAGCCCACATGAGCATCCATAAAAAGAGGAAGAAGCCGCACCGTGTTGAAAATAAACGTGAATATTTTTGATTTATTTGAAAACTATATGCGATCCAAAATAAATATGTTTATTTTAAACATGCCTTTCATGTATAAAATAAACAAACATATTTTGAAATTATTTTAGCATTTGAATGCGGGATAAAACAAAATAAAATAGATAGCAAATAAATGGAAATCCGCAGACAGGGCATCTAAATTCCTGCGATTATGGAAAGTCTGTGGATGTTTGGATCCGGGGGCCGTCGGGGTCGGTGTCCGATCCGATCCAGTTCAGTAAAACCGGTGAAAGTTTGAGATATTAGCGTCGTTTTGTCGTTTCTGGAGCTGGTCCTCATACCGGCCTCTTTCTAAGTTTGGTGTTCGGGGATGATCTGTTTTTCCTTCGACGTCGGGTGGGGGGTGAGGATGATATGGGGATCGGCATCAGAAACGACGGATTGACGTTAATATTGTGAGGTTCCACCGGTTTGGTAGAGCAAGTGTTCCATTGCTTGAGTGGGTTTCCGGACCCTCTACTACGGTTTCGCCGCTTGCAGGCCGTTTTCGGTTAAGTTTGCCGAATGTAAACAAGAAGGAAAAAAGGACACGCTAAAAATGGATTACCCAAGTTATGTATTGTTGAAATAAACATGATTTTGAATTTAATTTAAACATACATATTTTTGTTGAAAACATGTTTTTAATTTACTTTGAACTATTCATATTTTTATTAAATAACATATATATTTTTAACTTAAATGAACAAAATTTGGTTCCGTGTAATACCGCTTGGAGCATAGTCCTCTCCAGGCGGGTTCGTATTGGTGCGATTTGCGTGTGTTAGTGAGATGAATTTTTTTGTTAGCTGTGAGAATTTTTTTGTTTGCTGTAAGAACTGTCATTCTAAATTAAAAATAAACAACAAAACGAAAACAAAGCCTGCGCTTGCACGGCAACAGTCAAATAACCTTTTATAAGTAAAACTTAACCCATTTTTAATAAAAGTGGCTTTACTCATTAATGAGTAAATTATTTTAACAACAATGATTTTCTGCTAACTGTAGCTAACAGTTACTACTTAATTGGTATAATAAGTTACTAATTAATTAGTAGTGCCGCTTTTATTGACAATGGGTTCACTTTTACTCATAAATGGATGTTTGATTCTTACCGTGCACATGACAGTATACGCTAGTGTGTGTAAAATAATATTATTAGTGTAGTGTTCGTGAGATCCTGCTTGGAGAACTCAATATCAAATACAGAAATGTCATACAAAATTAATTTTGGCGCGAAACTGTCGGATGAAAGAAAACATACAGAGGTTATTTTGACAGTACAACAACTTTTCTTTTGAAAGATCACTCTTTTAAAAATAGCAAGTAGAATGTGAAAGATCAACTTTTAAACTAAAAGAACAACATGTGCGGTGAATATTTTCGTAGTTTATATCACGAAATTCCGAGGGGGGCGACACATCTAAATCTCAATTCTAGATGCTCAAAAAATCTCACACTAGCGAATCAATCTTCGAAAAACCATCTTTCATTTCTCGCATCTACTTGCATCGTGCTTCATCTTTTTGCAGGAAATCTTCAAAATCGACATAAATCTTCCTTCTATCTACTCAGCGTGCGTGCAGCTAGCCACAGCAAAACACAATCTTTTCTGCATCGTACATAAAGTCGCCCCCCTCGCTAAATTCGGGAAACTTTTAATTTAAAAATGTGATATTTTTACTAAAACAATTTTTATTTTTTGTGTGTATATACGCCTGTAGGTATGTGCGGAGACAGGGGTGCGACCAAGGGGTAAGTAACTGGCAAAACTGCACTATTTCTGCCTGCGCAGTACGCATGTGTCTTAATTTGATTGTTCTTGATACAATCCAATTGTTAGAAACCACAACCGTGAATTTTCGCTTAGTCCCGCCATGGATTCCTAAAAAACGAGTTTGATTTCCCGATACACATTTAGCGTACATCCCAATGCTTGTCCGAAGCAGAACACCACTTTCCGATCACCGAGTATACCAAAACCAGGACAATCGCAGCTGCGTTGAAAATCATCAACTTCGTATGCACAACAACACCCCACCACAGAGAACAGAAGTTGAGGCTCGAACAAAATGTCTCTAAAAACAAGTGTAAAGAATCATATTCGACTTAAGCGCCACTAACGGCGACGTCCCCACTTAAAAACCCTCTTTAGCAACATGATGGCGGTGGCGTTGTACAATTTACACTAGACACTAAGTGCTTTCAGCGATAAGTGGCAATTTTCAACAGAAAATTTATCGATACTAGCGCCAAATTGGTCGAAAGTGGAAAATTTATAGAGGAGATCAGGATCACGGCGATATTCCCACTTATCTTTACACAAGTTTCTGGTCGAAGTTGGACGTCTGTTCTCTGTGACCCCACTCATTCAATTCCACACTCCAAACAAGACCGCTTTTTATTTGTAAAAAATGCTCCTTCTAGAAGTTACCCACATCTAATAACCCATCCACAGTTCCTCTCGTC